TGCCTACAAGAACCTCAATATGCACCAAATACTGTTGTCTTATCAAGATATCTCAGCTACTTTCTCCTTGCTCTAATCAATTACGGCAAAAAATCCAATAAGGCATCCCGTTCTGAATATATGTTCTTATCAGTCCTTTCTTGGTCCCAGCTTCTTCTATTGTTAACTTGAAGCTTATTTCCAGAATATTAGACCAAAACTACTTAATAGGCCTTGATTTAGGGTCAGGATTGTTGTCAAAAGATGGGACTTCACCCATGGGAATCCCATTAACTCATTCTGAATGTTTGCCTTAACTGAGCCCTGTTGTTGCCATTCCTTTTGGAAGCAATGACTTGCTTCCTAGAATTAATTTTCTACTAACATTTTAAGCGGGATCTCTGTTTGCCTTTCAAATTCTCTGAGATTTCTACTGTCTTATGACATACTTCTTATAAACTTAGTTTCATGGGGTGGGGAAATAGAGGCCCTGAGAATCTGAATCTCTCCTCTATTTTCTGCCTCAAGACTTCTGTTTCCTATTCCCGTCCAGTAGGATCCACCCCAATACCCCATTCTTCTTTCTCCCTATGACATGAAATCCTTAGTTCTGGTTAGTTTTCTCTTTCCCTTAGTTAGCTCTGACTTAAACTTAATAGAGTTAATAGGCTACAGGGGAATGACAAACTCATTTGTCATTCCCTAGGTATGTAGCCTTCTCTAGAGGTATGCCTGTAAGGAGAACAATACCAATTGCCCTGGGGAGAAAATATGACTGTGCAAGCTAGGGTCTGTAGTTTGGGATACATGAGGTGACAAACACTGGAATCAGTCTTATCTCAGTTTTCCTGGGGCCAATTTGCATGCTGGAAGTGGCTGTGTGTGTAAAAGCTAGCTTGAACATCATGACAGAAATGTACCTATTCTATAAGGGCTTTTCTTCAGCACCCACTGTAACTGCCAGAGATATGGAGCCTCCATCACAGTCTTCATCACAGTGTTTCTATAGATATTTTGAGATGCATGCTGGGGAGGGATGATGTCCTATCTTCCTGTTTCCCATTTCCAGTGCCACTTCAAACCTAAATGCCTTCTAGTTTTCAGCTAAGGAACACGAATCCCTTAGATTTTCTTCCTAAACCAATGCAGTGACACCCTGATTCCCAATGATATTGGTCTATGTGGCATAAGTTGCTTGTTCTTTATACTTCTGTTGTTGTTGTTATGTGCTGTCAAGTTGGATCTAACTCATGGCGACCCCTCCTTGGGTTTCTGAGGTGGTATCTCTACGAAAGTAGATTGCCCAACCTTCCTTCTCAGGAGTGGCTGGTGGGTTTGAACCACCAACCTTCTGGTTAGCACAGTCAAGTGCCTTAGGCACTACGCCATACCTCTAAGCACCAAAAATTAAGAGTCTTATCATCTGAATTACTCTTTGCAAATATATTTTGTTACTTGATACCTAAGAATCCCATGAACATTCTATGTCTTCTTTGTGCTTTTTCTTATCTTCATAGGTCTAAGTCCTGTCCCTTTCCTCAAGACTTAGGGTTTCTATGAAGTATCTCCTAATTATCTCAGCTTTCTCTACACCCTCTTTCTTCTGAAATTGTTAATGTAGAATTCCATTTCCAGATAAATTATCACAAAAGGACTACAAATTGTTGGAAGAACTACTAAAGTGTTACTTTCAGAAGAAGGAAAATTAATCCAGAAAGAATGAATGGAATGTAGGAAGCAAAGGTAAACAAGGGAAAAGGGTAACATGTTGTAAATCTAAACATGAAATGTGTTCATGTTGAAACTGTCATTGTTAGGTGCCATCTAGTTGATTCAAACTCACAGCAAACCTACGTACAACAGAAGAAACACTGCCCAATCCTGAGCCATCTTCACAATCCTTGCTATGCTTGAGCCCATCGTTGCAGCCACTGTGTCAATCCATCTTGTTGAGGGTTTTCCCTTTTTTCACTGGCTCTGCACTTTACCAAGTATGATATCCTTCTCCAGGGACTGGTCTGACTACATGACTAAAGCACATAAGACAATTCTGGCCATTGTTGGTTCTAAGGAGCATTCCTGCAGCACTTTGTTCTTCTGGCAGTCCATGGTATTTTCAGTATTTTCCACCAACACCACAATTCAAAGGCATCAGTTTTTCTTTGGTCTTCCTTATTCTTTGTCCAGATTTCACTTGCATATGAGGCAACTGAAAACACCATGGTTAGGGTTAGGTGCACCCTAGTCTTCAAAGTGACATCTTTGCTCTTCAGCAATTTAATGAGGTTTTTTGCAGCAGATTTTCCCAGTGCAATGCAATGTACGATTTCTTGACTGCTGGTTCCATGAATGTTGATTGTGGATCCAAGTGAGATGAAATCTTTGACAACTTCAATCGTTTCTCCATTTATCATGATGTTTATGGGTCTAGTCATGAGGATTTTTAGAAACTTTTTTAAATAAAGGAATCACTTTTCAAATAAATTGTGTGGGGAAATTGAATTGTATAAATAATAAAATTAAAGCTGCTTTGGTTGAAGTAGGTTGGGAAACCTCACATGTTCACTTGCTCTACTTGTTTTTTCTCCTTCCACACTGTAAGAACCCCTGAGGCACCTCTGTAGAAATCTAAGACTCTTAAGAGATTTGTTTGGGAGCTGCTGTTGTAATCCTTTTCATCTATTTAATTGATCTGGTCCTTAAGATATTTCACAAATTATTAATTACATTTTTAAATTCTCTGTCACCCTTACTAGGTTGATTCTCTGCTAGTTGGAAACCTAAACAATCCTCTATTATTAAAAATCTTCTGTTTATTTCATTTTTTCTAACACAGTATAAAGTTAAACAGTATTTTATGCTTCTCTTGGAAAAAATGTGGAACCTGATACTCTTTCAATTCACTCTGAACTCCCTTCATCCACATTACATGTTATTATTGTCCCGCTTTTTAGTTCCCCCCTTTAAACACAAAAATTACTACTATAATTAGTCCCATTAGTGATCATTTCGTTCAAGTCAATAATTTGATTTTCAACATGTTACACTTTTTTCTTGCTTGCCATTGCTTCCTGTATTCCTCTTCTTTTTGGATTCATTTTCCTTCTTCCAGAAAAATCCTTTAATAATTCTTTAACAAATTGTAGTCCTTTTACGATACTTTATCTGGATATAAAATTCTACTTTAACAGATGTTTTCCCTATGCATTTGTATTTCACTGATTTT